ATATCATATCCTATCATTATCATATCACATCAAATCTGCTATATCATACTCGCATGTTGCTAGATATACTGCTATATTAATCCATAGTTATTCATTTTCGTAGAGGTCAAATATCACGTCAGTGTTTTGCTAACAAAACGTTAGCTTAAATGTCCCGGGGGAGTATCTCGACTGGTGATTCGTAACTCGCCATTGGCATTCATATATTTATATTAGCGCACGATGTATTAACCATACCCATTCGAATCTCTTCTTTGTGCTTCAATTTCGATCGTTTTTTTGCTCTGTTTCAATTTGTACTCCTTTTCGAAACATCCAATCGCATTAAACGCCCAAAAAATAGTTCACCAAACGCTTTTTCAACAGGCACATTCAGCATGATACTACCCATTGTGCGAAAGAGAACAAGATGAATCGCAAAGTTATTTGAAGTGATTATCGTTTATCACACATAAAAAAGTCTTTTGAATACCACGGAACATGCAAAAACTCGGTTCGTAAAAGATGTAGGCATTAAAGATTTATTTGTTGAGCAAAACATACCAAAAAAATATTTCATTTTGTTGGGAAAACATTTTCATGGATTTGATAAACCCGAAAATAGTTTCCATCAACAGCTAATGTGTCCATGAATGTTGCGCTGCTTAGCAATCACTTTCGCTGATTTCCAAATTCTTTAAAGAGATTTTCTCGTATCCATATCAAATTCATAGATTTTTCAACAAAACGTTACACCAATGAAGTTTTGTTTAGGCAATTTCTTGTTTTTTGCTTTAGGTTGAACGCCGTCTTAACACTGAATTAATGCAGTACGAGAAGCAGCTTGGGATCAGATACACAGATCAAAAAATTGGATGGGATTTCTGGAATGCAATGCTATACGCTCAGGTGTGTTTTTACTAAGCACCAAACAACATTCTCATGCCAACCTTTGCTTTGAGCAAAACTTTTGCGTTCCGATCTGTAGTCAAACGATGAAATCGTAGCCTTCATTTTTCCACACACTGAACATTCAAATACAATTCTTTTATTCACCACCACGATGAAATCTCCAAAAGCTGATAATCGATTTGATTCACCTTCATGCTCAAAATTTAATGTTTGCAGACGATTTGCACAACGATTGGATACGGTCATCTGTATCCGTCAACTAATGCTGGTCGTGTATTTACGATGCTATATGCAATTATTGGTATTCCTCTCGTGCTAAGCATTCTCGATGACTTAGGTTTGGCATTCATTACAAAGCTATTATCGTTCTGTAAGTTTCGCTATTCGAGTGACTGGAACGCTCTT